ACAGGTGGCCGGTTGGATGTGGTCCTTAGGCTGTAGTTTCCTGACCTTTGCCTTTGCGGGGGTCAGGAAATCAAGTAAGGGAGGCTGGGTCAGGAATTTAGAAAAAAAAATGAAATAGAATAGGGAGAATGAAGAAGATAGAAAATGTGGAACTCCAATGTATGCAGGAAAGCTTTTGTGAAATGTTTATTCCCATTAATTCATCTATATATGTGTGCATGGAGTGGTGATGCAACATGTATTTCTTACTCCGGGATGTGGCTAAAAAAGTTTGAAAATCCTCCGTTTTGAGAAATATGCCTTTCTGTATGACATTTTTATCTCTGAAGAGTTACTCACCTATTCATTCCACAGACCTCAAGTGTTATCAGAATACAGGACAGCAAGTTGAATTTTAATTTCAGATTTAAAAATAAAGAACAGTCTAGCTGTGTCCATACTTTAGTATACTCATAAGTATGTCCCATACAATATTCAGGAAATAGTTATACTGAAAATATTATTCATTTTTTTATCTGAAATTCAAATTTAACTGAGCATCCTGTATTTTTTTTTCCCCCTAAAGCTGACAACCCTATTTGGAATATTGGCATATAATGAATTGTTTTCATTATTACTGTAATGATCTTAAAACTCAGGTAAGAGCAGTCTAGTCCAGATGGCAACTTAAGGAAAAAACCTGACATTTAAAAATTTCCTCCGATATGCCAGGTGCCATGCCCTTTCACAGTAGCGTTAAGTACCAACCCTCATTGCAAAGCTCTAAGAAAGAGGCAGCTTTTTGTTTCCATTTTACAAATGAGGAAACTGAGATGCAGTTTGCCCACAGCCAAGGGTGGAGCAGGGATAAGTGGATGGCTCTTCTGACTCCAGTTCCTCGCTATTTCACCAGGTTGTCCTGGGAGGTGACCTATGAGGAAACCACCCCAGCAGGTCTTGGTCCCAACCGTGTGCTGAGGAGGGGAAAGGGGACAGTGGGAGGTCCAGCCAGGGTGCAGGCAACAGGGAGTAAGCTGTCTGGAGAGTTTAAGCACCATATCCAGCAGATTAAAGTCTGTGTGTACTATCACTCTACAATGCCAGTGATGGACTTCCCCTCCTTATATTATCAGGGCGGACTTCCCTACCCTCTGTAATATGCCACTATTTGGTACATAGTTGGTGCATAGTAAAGTTCCGTTCCTCTCTTCCTTCTGTCCTTTTCTCCTTCTCTCTCTCTGTCTGGGGCTGGCAAATAAGCTTCATACCACTTGTCAAATCTAATTGGTGAAGGCAGCCTGGACTGTTGAGTTGAGAAGGGTTCTGAAGTTGAATCTTTGCACAAAAGAGTGTTCTGCTTGATCAGTGATGCCTGCCACAGAAAGGGGAGTCAGGAGGGGCAGCACTGATCTCATGGGTTTGCCATCTTGGAGTTAAACTCTGCAATCTCCAGACAGCAAATGACCACACTAAACATCTATTAACCATGAATCAAAAGCTCCCCCAACTTAAGACAAGGTAAGAAGGGAAAAGGGAGAGAATTTCTGCCCATGGTATCCCCTCCCCCCCACCCCCACAAACACACATAACTCCTGAGTGACCAGGAGCTACATGCTGTGAATATAGTGGAGGCGTAAGCAGGCAGGTAGGGAAGGCACAGGTTTGCTTGAGGCCAACAGCCAGGCGCAAATTATTAACATCTCCTGTCCCACAGCCTCTTACCCCGTAAGCTTTTGTATGTGGCTCATGCGTACTCATAGTGTGACCAGAGACCTCTGCTCATGTGTGCCTTATTGGGATCAAGGAATACCTTTTCTTGATTCAGATATGTGTATGGCTGAAGGCAGGGCTCAAAAACAGGCCGAAGGCAAGACTTTCCATTCCTCTGTGTCCCCAAAGCAGTTTCCTCTTGGACACAAACCTTCACCTTCCTTAAATTCCCAAATTGAGTAACTACTTGGAAGGCTTTCTTGGGTTTTTTTATGTTAAAATTATTTTTCCAGCTGTAATTTTTCTTCAGTCTGGAATTTTGCTCTCTTTCTGCTTCAAACTTCATTGTAAATCCAAGTTTAAAGTCAGATTTATTATAAATAGCCTTTGTGTACAGCAGGCGTTTGGGTGTGCCATGTTTTGACCTTGACACAGTCTCCCATTTGGACGGCTCCATAATCCCTCTGCACCTCTGTTTATCTCCCTGCCCCAGAAATTAGAGGTAATAAACAGAAGGCCATGGGTAGGTCTTCTGGAAGACGGAAGGAGTGGGTAAGTGTAAGAACGCCTTCAAGGTCAAAGAGAAGGAACGTTCAAAGGCATATAAAGACATTTGGATATTTAATAGTATTGGCAATACCTTCTTGGATATTTAATAGCATTGGCAATACCTTATTTTGTTGAGTCAGTACCTTGTGGGCCTAGAAATGGCTTCTAAAATTATCTGGTCAGTTTCCTCTTGGGGAGTGATGATGTGAAGGGGCAACAATGTTTCATACAACTCAGACCAAATTTACATTTTATACAGAGGTCAAGATATTCGTCATGATGTACAGAATATAGTCTTTTTATGATTCTGGCATGTGTACATCTAAAAAATTCTGAATTTAATTTTTCTTAACACAGCAGTGAGACAAGGATTGCCAAAGAAATATGCCTACACTTGTGTTTTGTTTTGTGTTGCTTCAGCCAAATGATTTAATGAGTCACTCATTGTGCTTTTCCCTATGGATTCAGTGTTGTTTTCCATTCTGTCCTTAAGCCCAACTTCTAGGCTACGGCGTTGGGTCTCTTCACCAGACTTTCTGGAGCCACGTTAATTCCTCCCTTGGAAACTTTGTTCCTGCTCAGATACCCTCAACTTGTCTCTCTCCGTACATCTATTCCCATACCCAACTCAGCCTTCCAGGTACCATGGACATCAAGTCAATCAAGCCATCCTTGACTATTTGTCCAATAGTCTATAATCTTACCCATCTCTGAACTCCTGTTGTGATCACTGTCAATATGCAGTCTTTGTACTTGACCTCTGATGACCTCCTACAGTTGTTCAAATTTTTCTTGAGGGAAAAGACATGTCTTATGCTTTTTCTATGTTTTCCAAAATGTTTAGCCAATGTGGGGCATACTGCAAGCAATACTGGATTGATAAATGGTTGGGAAGTCTTAATTGTGCTTACAGTTTACACATCTAAGAACAGGGAGCTTCCCTTTATCTTTGTGGTATTTGACCAGAGTTTGCTCCCAGCCTTACCCAATTACAGGAAAAATAGTGTTTGAAGTAGGAAGCTAGTTCTGTGAATCCACATTTCCTTTGTTGGGCAATATCTAGCTGCATGTGGCATGACTTTTGCTGACACATAGTGTACTCTTTTCCTTTTTTTTTTTTTAATGTCAGAAAAAGACTATTATTTCCATTCAAGTCACAAGTGATGAAGAGTGGTAGTGGTTTCTCTGTGACCTTGGGAGAGTCATTTCACCACCTTCAGCTGCAGTTTCCTTCTTCTACAACTTTTCCAGCTCCAGTGTTCAGTGATTCTATGGTTTTGTGGCTGCTCAACTCTCCTCACATCTCATCGAACAGATATGTTTCTATGAGAAAGGGAAGAACTCCCTATTTCCCTCTTCATTCTCTGCTCTGGTTCTGATGTTGATAGATGGAGCTAGTGATGTTATTCATCAGTGACCAGGCTGGGCCTTCTCTCTATAGAGTCTGTGTAACTTCTTATATCCCACTGAACTAAGACTCAGAGCCCACCTTGACGATGGTAGCTTTAACTTGTCCACCCAGGGACATCTAGATGTTCTGGTTTGGGGAAAATTGTTCTGCTAATCTTTCTCCCTACTACTGTGTATATATCCTGTGGTTTTGCAGAATGGGCCAAGTCAATTCTTCTGTTAGAGTCTTTGGAAAATTCATGACATGTACTAGAGACTAATAAAGCGACTACTGAAGGCTTTATTAGATGCCCTTTCTCTTTCTTTTATGTGGTTGATGGTAAAAACAAGACTACGTATCATTGTTAGCTGTAATTTTATGAGTTGTTGCCTTTGATGACTTATGTTTCTGCCATATCATTTTAGGTGTCACATCTTGAGGACAGATGCCCTGGTTAAGACATGAGTTGACTTTCATTCATCAAAAGTTGGCCCTTGTGCTAGAGGGGAAGTAGAGGAAACCACTCTGTTATTAGGCTTTCAAATGAGTGTTTACATCCCTATAAAGTAGTCTGCTTTCTGCCATGATTGAGGCGACATCTACAGTTATCTCTAAGAAATATCTATTATCTAATCTCTGCTGTGTTTAATAAGCTACTTAAGACAAATTAGTTTGTGGGATTTTTAAAAGTCATTTGATTAGATACAATTTGGTCTTCTAAAAGGCTTGCAGCGTTTTCCCTAAGAAGGCATTGTTCCACGAGAAGTGACAGTGGGATTAGCCCTCTGTGTTAAGTAAATTTGGCGTGTGATTTATGTGCTTATATTTCCATGCATGCTCAAGGAAGCTATTCACCTTTGAAACTTACAAAATAATGATGCCAAAAAAGAAAAGAAAAGTCAGACTTTCAGGAGAAAGTAAGTTGTTTGAATTAAAGCTGAAACCATGTGGGGCCCAGAAAATCTCGTAACATTCTGCCTATTAAAAGCTCTTCTTCAAATAAATGTGCCCATGCAGAACAGAGAGAGAGGGGAAAAAAAAGCCCTTCATTTGGATGCAACAGCATGTCAGCTTAATTATATTAGACAATGGTGAGCTCAGTAATTCCACGTTTGATCCATTGCTGTGTGAAGTTCATTATTATCTGTTTTGAATTATTGTTCATTTCAAGAGCTGTACGATGAAGAAGCATGTAAAGACTTTGAAAGGACTCTTGGTGCCTTCCCCGAAAGCTTTGTGAAACATTTCTTTGGAAACATTTCTGCTGAGGCTGTGCATTGGCTGTGAGTGGGTGTAGGGGATGGGTCTCTGTGCTTCCCCTTTTCACATTTGTTTACCTTTAAGTACATCTCCATGGACACAAGGCCAACTTCTAAGCTGACTTTAGGGTTGTTCCTAAGAAGAATAAATAGAAAAATAGTGATAGCTAAAATTCTCAGATAATCCAAAAAAGGTCAGTCAAGGCAAGGGAAACTAAGGCTCATTGAACCCCTCTTCCGGACAGGTGATTTTTAAATAAATTTTCTCATTTAACCCTGAGAGAGCTAACTGGTATTATCTCTGTTTTGCAGATGAGGGCCTTGAACTTCTGAACATTTACTCAAATGGTAAGTAACAAACCCAGATTTGAACCCAGGCCTGTCTGATTCTGAAACCCACGCTCTTTCTACAAAACCACATTGCCAGTAGTTGCAGCCTTTCCTCCCACCTCCCTCAAGCATTTTCCAGAACTATATAAAAAAGGGCCATGCTTGATGTTACCTTCTTTAGGGTAAATAAAGTGCTTCTGAGGAAAGAGATATTAGGAAGAGAGAAAATAAGTGGCCTGGATAATCCAAGCATGAAATCGCCCACAGCAGCATCACCATAAACAGTTGCCCAAAATACTTCCAGAATGCGAGGCTGGTCCAGTAAAGCCTCATTTACCTAACACGCCCTCGTGTAGGAAGGCCTCCGTGTACCAGATGGTTGGCTACACCCCACTTTGAAGAGAAGGAAAGATGATGGACTGGAAAGGGGATGTAGATCTGGGTTCAAATCCTGACCCATCCTTATGAGACCCTGTGCAAGACCCTTTTCATACTTCAGAGTGTATTTCCTAAGTAATTTCTCTGAGCCTCGGATGCTAAGAGGGTATCTTGATGGGGCAAGATCTGGCCCCCCAGGTGTTTTGATCAGTGGCGATGGCACTCACGCTAAGGGAAGTGGTGTTGTGTGGCGAGATGGGCCCAGCAACCAGGCTTGAATGTTGGCAAAGAGGTGGAGCCCAGCATTGTATAGTGGCTGTTATTAGAATTCAGCCCACCCAGAGATTAAAATACTTTGACGTATATTCCATAGCACTAGAGTGTGAGCAGCTCTACTGTACTGGATCTAACACAAAGGAGCATTCTCCTGTTTACTTCAGGGGTGACAATTTCTGGGGCACCAAGGTACAGGTATTTTCAGCTGTAATGGTACCCAAGCAGTGGAGACAGAGATGGAACCACCAACTCGGAGTGACCCCTCCCTGGAACAGTGAGGACCTGAGGCCAAAAATCCTAGCTCTGTGGGACATAGGAGTAAGTAGACAACCAAGTGGTTTCCATGGGCATATCTAAGGGGCCCTGAGTTTTTCCAAGAATATGTGGGGAAGGCAACCAATTAAATATTGTGCTTTCTATGGTCAAAGAAGTAGAGATTTGGAGCCATTGGAATTTAGGTAGAGGTGATGGTGAGACTGGATTATACTTACTCGAGACGTTATCTTTTAGGTTATTGGGATGATAAAGTGCAGTGCTTAGCACATAGTAGGCCATCAATAAATGTTACTTATCTTGGTCTGTCTGGGGCATAAGCAGAGACTGGCAAAGCAGCCAAGCACAGGACACTGGGTAGAATCCTGCAATGCTGCCCCAGATCTCAAGGGGTGTTAAGCCAAAGAGATCAGCTATCAGGGTGCAGTCTGAAAGAAACATTAGACACAGGAAGATGAGAGAAGATGTAAATTCATAAATTAGCTGGGAGGACCTGGAATGAGACGCCAGCCATGAGACCTCCAACTGGAAAGGCTGGAAGAGACAAGAAGAGATCTTGAGTCTTGGAGAGACAACCCAAGTCACTCACTCAGGGCCAAGTGGGAACTGGAGCCTAATGCATCTCTTCTTTTAACTTTAAATTTTTGGTATTATTTTATACTCACAGAAAAGTTACAGGAATAATATAAAGAATCCCTATATGCCATTCATCCATATTTCCCAAATTTTCCACTTTGCTTTACCCTTTAACTCTATCTCTGTCTCCATCTCTATCTCTGTAACCTATATCTATAGCCTCATTCATAGTGTATTTTTTCTGAACTGTTTGAAACACGATGCCCCTTTACATATTTCAGTGTGTAGTTCCTAAAAATAACATTGTTTATTAACCATGGTATGCTGATCAAGTTCAGGAAATTAACATCCATACAATATCATTATCTCATGAACAGACCTTATCCAGATTTCACTGATGGTTCGAATAAAACCCTTTAAAGCGAAAGAAAATCCCAGGTCATACATTGCATTCAGCTGTCACATCTCTTCAGTCTTCCTGAATCCGCAATAGTTCCTTAGTCTTGGTCTTTCACGATATGGACAGTTTTTGAAAAAATACAAGTCAGCTATTTTATAGAATGTTTTTCTGTTGGGGTTTGTCTGATGTTTCCTCCTGAGCATTTTTGGCAGGAATCACACAAACATGATCTTATATTCTTCCTAGTGCCTCATATCAGGAGGCACATGGGGTTGATTTTTCTCATGACTCAGAATGTTCACTTTGATCACTTGGTTGTGGTGCTGCCTGCTAGGTTTCTCCGTGGTAGGGTTACTTTGTTTGCTTCGTCTTTAATAAGAATGTGGATTGGCAGATACTTTGAGACTACATAAATATTCTATTATTTCTCAAACGTGCCCACTACTCTTACCATCCAGGGATGTTTTGCCTAAAACAATTATCATCATGATTTGCCAAATGGTAGAACTCGGTCTCTTGATTTCTCTATGTCAGTTTAGTGAGCAAGTAATGTGCATGCCCTCCATGACCTTCATGTCTTAGCTTGCATGCTGCTTCTCTCCTGAAATGCCCTCCTAGCCCTTGTCCTTCAATATTTGCCAGCTTCTTTCAAGACCCAACTCCAGATCCATCTCCTCAACCTTTCCCCATCGTTCACTGCAACGTACAGGGACCACTGTCTTGCTTTCCTCTGCACCTTTTCCTGCCTTTAGATGTGTCTTAGGTTTCTGGGTATTTCTTGAAGATCTGGCTTTCAATCTGTGGTGGAGGGCCACTTTTTGAAAATTTCCTAAATACTGTATGTGACTCACCACCCGAGTTCAATAGTGCCCAGTTCAGCTGGACCCTATGCCCTGTTCACTGAGACGGGCCCGTTGACCACATGCTTGGATGTCGCAGCAAAGTCGGATTGCCATAAAAGTTTTAAATGAGCCAGTTACGTTTTGTACTTAACACAGGCCAGTAATATTTTGAGTAGCATGTTTTAGGGCATCCCTCCCGCTCTCTACACCTACCTCCGCTCCCAGACCCAAGACAGTTGTCTCATGATAATCAGGGGAAAGGTACAATCCTTTTCCCTCCATTCCATTTGATTTTGACCAAGATTTCTCTGTGTGACATAATTACCACCAAGACACCTGAGGCTTTATGAGTGAAGAAATAATGAATGGGTTGGATGAGCAGCTTGCCAGTTTCTGCCAAGTTTATTTAGTGTTGTGCCCAAAGTGAGTGATAAAGCCTAAACTTGAAGCCACAACTTCTGATTGCAAGCCTGTGTGAGCCCCATTCACAGCTGACTCACAGAAGTTGGGAGTGTGGGCTCTGAATGTAGACAAACCTCAGTCCCCATCCAATCTACCACTTGCTACCTGTGTGGCTTTGGGCAAGTTGCTTGACCTCTCTGAGCTTCAGTTTCTTATTCGTAGGGTGGAGATAATTAACAGTAAAACTGAATGAGATCATTAATACAAAGAAAATACTTCATGCATAGCACATACTGAGCAAGGCTTTAGTAAGACACATAAAGGCTTTGATCACGCATGGACATTTAATTTTACCGAAGTAGCTATTCAATTACACATGTATTAATTAAGTGCCTTTATTATTTAGGGTATTTGCCAGATGCTGCAGAGAGAAAAAAAGCTCAACTTTTCTTAAAGTGGTCACGAAAGATTTAGAAAATACACTTATCAAATGACTCAAGATCATAGAATGAAACCCACTTCAGAAAGTAAGGGCTTTGAGGTTTCAGAGAAGGAAAAGTTCATATCCTATCAAGGGATTAGGAAAGGCTTTATGAAATATTCAGTATTTGAGAGGACCTTGACATGTAGATAGAATTTCATAGGTTTTGGGGTAGAGAGGACACTCTTGGCAGAAGAGAGGAAAGAGCCTGAGCAAAGGCATACGGGCGATTCATCCGATGGCAGATTTCCAGGTGAGTTTTCATATAGGCTAAATTGGAGAGCCTCTTGGGATATAAGCCTGGAAATGTAAGTTGATGGTAGGCTTTACATTTCATCTAGGAGGTAAACGGGGACCCACTGAATGCCACTTTTTACCCCACTAGTGTCAATATTTTCCATGCTTCTAAAGCGCAGTTATACAGGTAAGCAAAGGGGCGGTGGGTCCGATTCGTGCTTTCCTGACCACAACAGTATTAGGTGCTGTTGGTGCTCCACCCAAATCCCCTTGACTGGGCTGCTGTACTCACACCCCAGCTGCTGAGGTCGACGTGGACAGCTCACAGCTGCCCCCTTCTGCAGGCATTACCCCGGACCAACCCAACAGAGCCTGCTTAGCCCAGAAGGTTAATGCTCCCCTGCTGGGGGTAGCCTGTTGCTGTTGACTGATTGCAAAGGGCTACAGAAGGCCAATCTCTACCTCCAGGCAGGACCCACTCTGTGGTGGAACTCACACTCCCAGAGCTACTCACAGGATCAGGCTGAGCAAGACTCTGGCCAAGTCCACATCATTGTTTAGCTCCTGTCTGCCTCTCCAGCTTCCTTCTCTCCCCTTCTCTCCGGACAGTGCTCCCTCAGTTAGCCACATGCACCTGAATCCTCATCTCAACTGTGCTCCTGGGAACCTGGCCTAAGACACCCCCTCTTCCAAGAAGAGCTTCCCTCTTTCCCCCCTCAATACTTTTCTTTGCTTGACCTGTGGCTCTGGACACACGTTACAACTTGTTTCTGTTTTTCTGGGACCGGACCAGCCGGCGATTGCTGAACATGTCAATGATATGGCCCTGGCACCTGGAAGATGGACTGCCAGCACCAACAGACTTCAAAATGGTTGCAGTGGTTAGAGGAGAAGGGGGTTAATAAGGGCATGGCTTAGTCATAGCACCTGGCTCATAATGAGTATAAAACCAGGAAGGCTTACGGTTTCTTATCTGCATAGGAATCTCTCGATTGCAATGGTCTGATACTCAATTAGTTAAAACATAACAATAGTAATGTGGTCAATAGGGCTGTCCCTTCTGGGAACATGGCAAGATAGCCCCTTCCTTCTCTGTGAAGCTAGGTGTGGTCGTATGACCTAGTTTGGCCAATGAAATGTGAGTGGAAGCAATGTACCCTTCCTGGGCAGAAGCATTAAAAGCCAGTGTATCATTTCTTATGTTCTGTTTTCCTCTGCATCCTTTAGAGATGGCAGCTTCTCTGTCAGCTTAGATTTGTGAGTAACTAAGATAAACACAGGGCTTGCTGATCCACAGGTGTTTTAAGCCACTGGGACTTTGGGGCTGTTTGTCACTTCAGCATGCTGACTGATACAATTAATTTTTTTAAATGGCAGCTAACATGCTCACTCTATGCCCAACACTGTTCTGAATGCTTCTCAAATGTTAATTCATTTAATCTTCATATCAACCCTATGAAACAGATACTACTATTATCCCCCTTTTAGAGATGAGAATGTTGAGGCCCAGAGAGGGTAAGAGTCTTGCCCAAGGTTATATAATTCGTAAGTAGCAGACCCAAGATTCCAACCCAGGGAGCCTGGTTCTCAATCACAAATCCACAAATCCCTGTCTCTCTCTTTCCCTCTCTCTCTCTCTCTCTCTCTCTCACACACACACACACACACACTAATTTAATGCCTCCTATAATGTAAAAATCCAGGCATAACCTGCTTCAGGAGCAGTTGTGTCCAGGTGCTCAAAAGGTCCATTGGAATCACTCTGTGTGTTCTACTTTGACCCTCAGACGATCTTCCACTGAAGAGACCCTCCAGGCTCACATTCTTACACTAAGCAACTACAGGGGAAAGAACTTTCCTCGCCCAAAATTCAAGGCTTTTAGGGAACCATCCTCCCTCCACTTTCAGCCTGAATCACTCAGTGTGAGTATAGAAGGGGCAGATGGGTGCTGGGCAGGCAATGACAGCATGTCCCTGCACATATGGAATGACCAAGGCCATGAATAACTGAGAACTTCTGTGAAACTCCAAAGAGCCCAGGCACTCTAGAATCTGCACTTGGTGGAGTTGTAAAAATAAACAAAACCCCCCAAATGAATACCAGATATATTGTCAAACACTGTCATGGAATGAAAGGTGGCAAAATTCCAGATTGGAAATCCTTGGGACTCGCGTGCATAGTGGAAGGATTTCTGAGTTTCATTTCCTTTTCTCCCTTTTTCTTCCTTGCCTGAGTTCCTCTTGCTCTCCATATCTCAGCTCGTGCTGTATGCTCGTGCACAGAGTTTTATGCAAAATGTATATTTTCCCAGAGCCCACGGGCTCACCCAGGCACACACACAGAGACCCAGAGACACACGTACTTTCTTTGCTTTTGTCTTCAGAATGATAGTAGAGGAAGCACTAGATTAGGGATCAGGGGACCGGCCTCTCGTTCATCTCTACCCCCTGTGAACATGGGAATGCCACCATCTAACTCTGGGTTTCAATTTCTCCACCTGGAAAAGATGTGCCCCTGGACCAGATGGTCCCAGGTGCCCTTCCTGCTCTCCCACTGTTCTTGGTTCCAGCTCCCACCCCTCACCCCCACCCCCGTCCTACACCCCAGCTCCCTCCCTTAAGCCCACGCCCCTGGCCCAGAGCCCTGGACCCTGCCATGGCCTCATCACAGCTCCAGCCCCAGCCCCACTGTGTAGCCCCTCCCAGTGACTCCCCAGTGCTCAGCTCACCCAGTCCAGCGGCAGGGTGGGTCAGTGGGTAGAGGACACAATTGGAGTCTGACTGGCCCAGGCTCACCTCCAGGGTTAGTGTGCCACTTAGGTGCCGTGTAACCTTGGGCCAGGTCTTTCATCTCCCCATGAGCCTCAGCTCATGGTAAAATGGTGGTGATAACCACAGCGCCTTTTCCCCCTCTGGGGCTGTGAGGGTTCAAGAAGATCATGCGTGTAAAGCACATGCAAGGTGCTGGCCCATAGCAGGCTCGTGGATTGCTGGGGATGATTATTTTCCGCCCCAAGAAGCTGTAAGGAATATTATAGAGCTGTTAACACAGGCAAGTTAAAGCTGTGCTCAATGACAACAGCCAAGTGAAGAACAAACAGCATGTGTTGTTTGATATCTTTTGTTTAAAAAAAGAGGGACAGCGAGAACTGAGTTTCCATTAATGTAAATAAATATAAATACGCAGGGCACACGACCACCCTCTAACATTAAACAGGAAACCAATAGGGCTGGTGAACTGTGGGAAAAAAGAAACTGGCTACATGGGGGTCAGCAATGGCTTCCCAGTATACTTCTTAATCTAGTCTCCAGAATTTTCCCCCAAGCAAATATATAACCTATTCCAAAAGTTGAATTTAGAAATAAAATCAGACACCCCCCCCCACACACACACTTACTTGCTGAAAGTTGTGAGATCTGGGGCTGGGGATGGGGGGTAGAAGGAAGCCTGAGTGGGTTTCGTTTTTCCCTGAAAGTTCACCAGACTGAGAAAAATGTCACTTCCAGGCACCCTGGAAAGTTAGTTACAGGGTACAGACTTGAAATTGATGGGGGAACCCAGTTTCTGGTCAGAGATTCCTATGAGGGAGGTAGAGCAAGTTAACTAGCTTATGAGTCATTGTTTTCATCATCATCACCATCAAGAGTATCAAATGGAACATTTGTATGATGCTTTTAAATTTACACAGTGGTTTCACACGTGTTACCTCATTGAGTTTTCCAGCCATACCCTGAAGTTAGCATTCAAGTTGTTATTATTCCTCTTATTATCTCCTTTTATGGTCTGCAGCAGGCACTGTCATTGTCCCTCCCTCATGTCCTGGGTATTCACCGTCCTGTTGGCTTCTTACTATCAACACCAGGCATCCCCTTCCTGAGGGCTTTCTCTGGCCACAGGCTCACCTCAGCCTGTGCTGAGGACAGGCCAGAGTATGGAGGAGGTGTGCCCCTGGGAACAGCCCTGACCTGTGTCTGATGGGACCTGGTGGCTAAACACCCCTTGGGTAGGACATTGAGACCAGGGCTTCACAGTCTCCCCGAGGCCCCAGCTGGGATTAATCCTCAGTTGCTGCCTATGTAACCTGCTCCTTAAAGCATCCTGGAGTGGCTCCCTTCCCTTCACTTCCCTTCCTCACATCTCCCCTCCCCTCCTGGGGTTCATGCCATTCCCAAGCAGATGAATTATGTGCTCACACATCTTTGTCTCAAGGTCGTCCTCTGGGGGGCCCCCAGCCCAAGTCAAGGCACATCGCTAGTGAGTGAAGGAACAAGGAGCTGGCTGCAACATCCACGCTCTTCCACCCCTCTGCTCTGCCTTCCTTATAAGCTCTCCTGGAAAACGAAAGCCAGACCAAAGGACAAACTTTCTCTTCAACACTCAGGCTGAAGAAAGCTACTGAATCGAGCATAGGAGCTCTGAGCATCCAGTACTCGAAGCAAAGAGAAACACGAAGCCAGTTAATGAGCACAAGTGTTTAAACTTGTCTTTCGAAACAAACATTTTTAAAACTGTTGGGATTTTTTTTTCTTCAACCATCCATTTCATGTTTGCAAAATAACTATTAATATTGACGAGGGCTTTTCCGCAAATGCGCCACTTTGATTTTTTTTTAACGCCTTACTTTCCTGTCCAAGAATTAAATGGTCACTTAAAATTGTCAATCATATTCTTATGAAAATGTGATCATCTCTTGAAGAGAGAGCTATGTTTCAAGAAGGGTAAGGGGACTGCCAGGGAAGGCTTTGAGAGGGGCTGTTATTGGGGCCAAGACCCTGCAGGATGAGTGGGGGTTCCAGCAGGCGGGAAGTGGGGAGAGCGTTTCCCAGACTGGAAGACTAGCCTGCGGGTATGCAAAAGGCCAGGAACATGCTTCCTGAGAGCAGGGCTCTGGCTCAACTGGACCGAGTAGGATAAATGTGTGTGAGTGAACAGGCGTGAACACCACATTCTCCAGCCCAGAGGCAGTAAAGACTGAAAAAAGGAAAGGAGTGGTGAATGCGGAAACTTGCTGGTTTCCACCAGACCAAAGCTGGGGCCCTGAAGGCAGCCTGCCCTGGCACCCACACCGCATAGGACTTTGTGTGGCACCCTTGAGTCATGGGAAATGCCCATGACCATAGCGGTGGACAACTCCAGGACACTAGAAGCCTAGTTCAAGACCCAGCCTTCTTCCTTAAGACAGAATCTAGTGAGGTGGGGGCCATGGGGAAACCCTCTTACCAGGTCAGGGCAGTCCATCCAGGGAACAGCAAAGACGGTCAGGAGGGTGTGTGGTACTCACAGCTGGCTTGTGTGGTAAATATTTTTAAGTGATAGAATCTCAAGATCAAAAAGCTTTGAGCCCACTGTTCTATTTTAGCTCGTCTCATTTGTGTTATAACTGGTGGGGGTTTGTCCCCAGGGACACGGGTTCCTGCAGATCAGTCTGTTTCATGCATAAATCTTTCATGCGTATGGAGGGTCTCTTATCCAGTACAGTGCAGGGCACACAGTAGGAGCTTGGTCAACGGGTGTCAAACAATGTATATAGATGCATTCTGAGTTTCGGCATCTTCCCGATGATCGGGGAAAGAAAAAGATGGCTTTTTACTTCAATCATTACAGGTGAGCTGCATTGGCTGGTGACCCACGGTGAATGCATCTGAATGACATCCTGCCACTCTGTGTCTCGTATCGACACCTCTACATGACGGCAGCCCCTGCAGTGGATTTGCTGCGGCAGGCCTTGTCTTGCTCAGCCGAGATGCTACCACAACCAGCCGATCATTCACAGTCTGAATCAGGGTCCACTCTCAGTAACTGATTTTTTCTTAACATTGTCACCTTCCCTGGGAAGCTGCCTTTCTGTCTTTTCCTGTAATATGGACCCTTCATGATACCCTGAGCAGTGGCCAGAATTCGTCTAGAACTTTGACCAAGAGGGGATGAAAATATCAGAGCATAACTTTTGGGTGGAAAATGTGCTTATGGGGCAATAAGGACAAGAATGCAATGGGTGAGGCTTTCCCTCTTCCTCTCCCCTGCCTGCCTCTATCCTGCCCTTAGCTCACTTGACCCTTCCTCTGACAAGTCTGGTTTTCTTCCCTTTAAAACTCAAAGGTGTCACTGCAGGAGTATAGCCTGCTGCTGGGGTTCAAGTCCCAACGTTCACTCCTGCCAGCTGAGCAATTGTGAAGCTGTGTCTTTAAGTGATGATAATGAGAGTATCTATCGCACAGATTTGCTTGAGGATTCAGTAAGTTAATAACTATAAATGGCTTAGGAAACTGCCTGGCACGTGGTAAGGACCACATAAGGTTAGTTCATGTTATTCCCTGGTCGAGTTAGTTCAGGCAGAAGATACTAATGAGATAAAACACATTTTGTGATGATCAAATGCTGCTCTTGAAAGGACAGCCGAAGCTCCTGAGGGTCTCCGGATAGAATGACGCTCACTTGGGAAGCAAGATGGCCTTGTGCTGGCGCATCGCCTGAGAGCTAATAACTTCATGTTCTAACTTACTCGTGCATGGAGCCTTGGCCTTGCTGTATGACCTTGGGCAAACCAGTTAACCTCCCGGGGCCTTAATTCTTTCATCAGCTAAAAAAGAGGGAGAGGGGGAGAAAGTAAAAAGAAAATGATAATACTGTCTTATTTCACAGAGCGACTTGGTTCCTAAGGAAGACTGGAGGGTCTAGACAATGTTAGGTGATGTTTTAAGTAAAGGCTGGATGATAGTGGCTTATTTACTATCTTTAAAACTCCTAAGGGCCTGGGATAAGCTTGTTGCTAGATGAGATAGAAAGGAACTCTCTCAGATTAGGTTTCCAATGAATGTGAATTAATGTATAATAAGTTAAAAATAGAAAAGTATTTCCTAGAAATCATGGTCGATCAACATCTTTCTTATCACTTCTCTGACCAAAAGGGAAAGGAGACAAGTGTCAGTGGTCATTGGCACCAACCAATTCAACACTAACAGGAATCCCCAATTTGGGGTGCTGTGAAGAAGGAAACTTTATTCAGTGCAAACAGCTCAATTGTAATATAGCACCGGCTGTGGAACAACTCATTAGTGTTACAGCTCAATTATGAGACAGCATGGCTGTGAAGTGGCCCTGGAATATGGCACTGAGGCAAGGCCCCTCTCCAGCTAGAAAGCTCTGCTCTGCTCTGCTCCATCTGCTCTGCTCCACTTAGGTCAGGGGAAACATCTTCAGTGTTTCATCTTTGGTATTTCAATCCCAGCCAGGAAACACAATCTTCAGTCTTCTGTGGAAAGGGAAAGTGTGCTCACCGAGCCAAGGAGGAGCTGACTTATATAGAGAGTGAAGTCCCCACCCCTGGTCCCTGATTTGTCCATCTTCATGCAAATGAAGACTCCAAATCCTCATAATTTGATAGGTCCAAAAGGCACTGTCCTGATTGGTCAGAATGGAGATGTTCTGATTGGTTGATGAAGATGCCTGGGGGGGGGGGCTATAGCTGCATAGCTCTGATAGGATGGTGAAAGTCTCAGTTCTATTGGTTGAAATACAATTCCAGGTACTCCTCTGTAAGGGCTGCTCAGACAGAAGGAACACAGTGCAAGCAGGCAGTTCAATGCAGACTTCTCTCTAAAGAGCAGTTTGCATGAGAAGCCCCTGTGTAGAAATGGCTGCTAGGCTCTGCTTTTAAATTTGAGCCCAGTTAGCCACCAGGAGCCATTCTTGGTAAATTATCTTCTTTCTCAGGGTCCACACCTTTTGCTGAGTCTCAGAACCCTTGGTCTGTGTTTTCCTCCCAGCTTGGAGAACATTGCTTTTGAAACCTAAATTGTGATGCAGGGTTGACCAAAGGGTTATTTCTCATTTGTGAAGATATTTTAAAAAGGAATAAAAATCAATTTACGTATCTTTGGATACACACACACATGGACTTATTTTAAATACTTAATCTTTTTCAGAGTAGGTTTAGGTTCACCGCAGAAATGAAGAGAAAGCACAGAGATTTCCCCTATACCCCTCGCCCCCACAACATACATAGCTTCCCACATTATTAACACCCCCACCAGAGGGTACATTTGTTACAATCGATGAATGTACGTTGACACATCTTTGTCACCTACGGTTCATATTTTACACCAGGGTTCACTCTTGGTGTTGTACATTCTACAGGTTTGGACAAATATATAATGACATGTATCCATCATTATAATATACAGAGTATTTTCACTGCCCTCAAAATCCTCTGTGCTCCACCTGCTTACTCCTCCCATCCCATCCCTGGCAACCACTGATCTTTTTTACCATCTTCATAGTTGTACCTTTTCCAGAACGTTATATAGTTGGAATCATATAGTAGGTAACATTTTCAGACTGGCTTCTGTCGTGTACTAATATGCATTTAAGGTTTCCTTCATGGCTTTTCATGGCTTGACATCTGAATTCCTTTTAGTGCTAGATAATATTTCATTGTCTCTATGCACCACAGCTTATTTATCCATTCACCTACTGAAGGACATCTTGGTTGCTTCCAAGTTTTGGCAATTATGAATAAAGCTACTATAAACATCAATGTACAGGTTTTTGTGTGCACATACATTTTCAACTCCTTTAGCTTAATACCAAAGTGCACAATTGCTGGATCAAATTGTAAGAGTACATTTAGTTTTATAAAAAATAGCCAGTGCTGGCTGAGTAGTGCATTGGTTAAGAGTTGGCTTGGGACACCAGCTCTGAGCAGCAGGGCCCCGGTTCGGATCCCGCATGAGGGTCAGTGACACTGTGCCCTCTACAGCTAAGATGGTGAACAATAGCTCAACCTGGAGCTGGGCTGCCGTGAGTCACCGGCGATGGTGTAGGCTGCAGTGGGGCTGGCCAGCAGCGGGTGTGAGTTTTCATGGGCTGCCGTGGGCGGCTGTCTAATGGCCGGCGAGCGACTGCCTCACCCAGGAAGAGCACAATGATAATATCAACATGGGCCAGTGAAGCGACGTTCTCCACAACTAGACTGAAGAACAAAAGGAGAGCAACTTTTCTGTTCCCCTCCCCCAATTCCCCAATAAAATCTTAAAAAAAAAGAAAAAAGAAATAACCAAACTGTCTTCCAAACAGGCTGTACCATTTTGCATTTCCACCAACAATGAATGAGAGTTCCTGTTGCTCCACATCCTCACTAGCACTTGGTGTTGTCAGTGTTCTGGATTTTGGCCATTCTAACAGGTATATAGTGGTGTCTCATTGTTGTTTTAATTTGCATTTCCCCAATAACATATGATGTGGAGCATCTTCTCATAAACTCGATTGTCATCTGCATTTCTTCTCTTGTGAGGTGTCTGTTAAGGTCTTTGGCCCATTTTTTTAAATTGGGTTGTTTGTTTTCTTATTGTTGAGTTTTAAGCATTCATTGTATATTTTGGATAACATTCCTTTCAGCTGTATCTTTTGCAAATGTTTTCTCCTAGCCTGTGGCTTGTCTTCTCATTCTCTTGCCAGTGCCTTTGTCAGAGCAGTAGTATTGAAGTTTCATAAAGTACAGCTTATCAATTATTTCTTTCATGGATTGTGCTTTTAGTGTTATAGCTAAAAAGTGATCAGGATACATTTAATTAACTATTTTTAAATGTATTATATTTTAAAAAACAACAATAGAAATGTAAAATTGGGCCTGCCCTGGACAATCTGAGATGTAGTACAGGGGACAATTGTTGATCTCACCAGCACCCATCTATCATTTTCCAGGAAGCCCTGATTTTCATTTATGGGCCCTGTGGCTCCATGCTGAAGCCATGCTGCTTTAGGAAAGGAACACGTGATCCAGATTAAGCCAATCAATGCACCTGAGCCTTGGCCACCGTGATTGGAAATGTGCAAAACCAGTTCAAGCAAAGTAAAGTTTGGGGCTCCTATTTAGAGATTTGGGACAAAGGCATTCTCTCTCTCTCTCTCAGAAGCAGTATGGTTTCTGGTTTCAAGAACTGGAGGTGCTGCAGCCATTTTTGCTACCTAGAAGGTAGCCATCCTGAAAGCCATGCACATACAGAAGAGATCATTGCTAGAAACATGTTAGCAAACAGAATGGGGCCCTAATAAGATTCAGACCCTCTGGAACACATTGTGCCTGAAGACTGTTCTTAATCTGCACTTTTGGGTTACATGATCCAGTAAATTCACTCTATCGGTTGGAGTATAGTCAGGAAAAGAGAAACCACACTAGATATTTCAAAATACAGGGACTTAAAAGAATTTGTTACACAAGTAAGAAATCAAAAAGAGGATGCTGAGGTAATCCAGAGATTAATAACCCCCGATGCTAGCAGAAAAAAGGGGGTGAGGGTGGTTACGAGCTTAGGACCTTGGGGGAGGGTCTCATGAGATTGGGACTGGGTTTCTGAGAAACTGCATTGCTTGTGTTCAAATCTTGGAAGCACGCAGACCAGGAAGGAGGGGGTGAGATTTGACGGGGGCTCACACCCACGGAAGTTGTCCTGATGCCCCAGAACACGAGGTCCAGTGGGAAAGGAAGCATGTGCGACTGGTCTTCCCCCTTCCAAGGGACCACCGCTGATGGGGGGCTCCAGTCCCGCTGCAGGGACATGGTGAGGGGGCTCTGGGAGTGCCAAAAAGAATGGGGAAGTGAAGCCCACCGTTTACTCCTGCTGGAGAGACTATCAGGAACTGAGACAGAAATGAAGTCCTTTTCTCCTGCCTCCTAA